TCAACTACGGTTGAACCAAGACAGGCTATGCGCCTTCACCAAAAAGTTCAACTACGGTTGAACCAAGACAGGCTATGCGCCTTCACCAAAAAGTTCAACTACGGTTGAACCAAGACAGGCTATGCGCCTTCACCAAAAAGTTCAACTACGGTTGAACCGGGACTCAAGCAATGTGCCTTCGCCACCAAATTTAACAAAGTCCAACAACAGTCGAACTGGGACTCCGACTACGTGCCTTCGCCAATAAGTCCAACCACGGTTGAACCAAGACTCGGGCTATGTGCCTTCGTCATTAAAGCCAACGAGCTCGACCTACAAGGAGGGACGCCTTCGTCCTCAACTTTAGCAAGTTCAACCGCAGTTGAGCCGAGACTCAGGCCAAACGCCTTCATCTGTGAAAGCAAAGCCCGACCTCCAACAAATCGAAGCGAAGGATAGGCACCCTCGCCATTCAAGTAAGTTCTCCCAACTCGAATTAAGATTCGGGCCACGTAAAGTTCGGCCCCGGTCAAACTACGAGACCGCGTTTTTTACCATCACGACCAGTAGTTCGACCGCGTCCGAACTGGGACTAAGGCTAAGCGCCGCTATCGCCAAATAACGACTAAGACTCGCCCGCACCGAGTTGAAAAAGCAAGGCCATCAACTTTATTATGGCTAAGGCCATCGCCGCTAATGGTCGACCTAGATTCGACTGCGGTGGGTAAACGACCCGACGACAGTCGAAGTTGCCTTTATGGCTAAGGCCGTCGATTCTATCACGACTAAAGTCGTCGATCTAAATTCGACTAGGGCCGCCAACGCTGACGGTCAACAAAAAGCGCAGCAAAAACTCTAAAGAACGAAAGAAAAACAGTGACACAAAACAAGCACAAGGCAGGCAATGGAAAAGAAAATTTATATATTTACAGAGTCAATTGCGGGTTATCCCCGCTTACACCCGGCCAAGGCCGATCAATACAAGAAATAAAATAAAATAAAAAAAAGCAAGAAACACCTAAACACCAAACGGCGAACAAGACAAGAAAAAATGCATAAACATCTTTTACTCGGCGCCGTCTGCGCCACCGTCTGCACCAGCGTTAGCCTTTGGCGTCGCCGCGTCAAAACCACAGTCGGCATGTGCCTCACGAGCCTTCTGACGCGCCCCCTCGAAAGCAGCTTCGGTCACGACGCCAGCCTCCCACAAACTCTTATATACATCACGTTGGGCCTCGGCAAAGACCCAATTCTCGAGCCTGGCTGGAAGAAGCGGCTTGATCCCGTAGCCGCTGATTCTCTTCTTCTAAGGCTGTGATCCGGTCCGCCATGACCTGGGCGTCCTGCTCAAAGACACCAATCCGCTCCTCGAGACTCGCTTCTCTAAAGGCTGCAGCATCCCTTTCCAATGCCCGTTGGGATTCCTGCACGCGGATAGCTTCCTTCAACGCCTCGGCCCTCGACGAGGCATCTCTCACTTGAAGCTTCAATGCCGCGACTTCACCCTCCAACGCGGTCACTTTCCCACTCCATGCCGCAGCGGCCTCCGCCGCCTTGGCCTGGCCCCGGCGCTCGCACTCAGCTGCAGCCCTCTTTACCGCCTCGAGCTCCTCATCCTTTCGGCGAAGCTGCCCCTCGAGAGCACTCGTCCTGCCAAGTGTTTGCTGCATCTGAAGCTCCCGCCTCGCCAGCTCTTCGACCAAGGCCCGGCTACGAGGATCATTCCTCAAGCGCACGCGCAACTCTCGGCACTGATCTCGGTAGCGAAGATACTTCTCCAGAGCCCGCAAAAATATCCCCGAGCGGACCTTGGCTCGACGGATGCTCTCCACCTCCAACAGATAAGACTGCAAAGCAAAGGCAACGATTAGAATAAACTTAAGGCAAAGAAGAAGCGAACCGACGTAATAGTACATACCCTCAAGCCCATCACGGCTACTTCATTCATCAGTCCGACATCAGTAACGCCCCTCAACGATGCATTCTCGGCCTCCGAGCATAGCAGCTCGAACTGCGGCACCAAGCTTTCCCCTTGGAGCAATAAGTTCAATTCCGTGGGAACCTCGATGAAGCGAGATCGCCCCCTTGCACGCACCGCTGAATTGGTGGAGCCTTCCTGGAACATACGGACGTCGTCAGGATCCAAGTCGGATTCAGACTCATCCTCACCCCCTACAGCATCTCTTCCCCCTTCAGCCGCCGGCGAAGTGGAACCTCCCGCCGCAGCCGCCGAAGGAGCGCTTGCCTCACCCACATTAGCAGCCGCTGAGGAACTACCTCCTGTCTCAGCGACTGGAACCCCCGATTGAGTTGCCGAAGCGACGGTATCATTACGACCTGAGCCAACCAGGGCAACACCCAGTGTTTGTCCGCCCTCAAGGGCAGGCGCCGCAACTGCACTCCTCTCCGCGTCCGCCGGGGAGGGGGGGGTCCAAATTAATTACCACAGGAGGAGCCGGCGCGAACGCGACCCTACGCCTTATCAACGGCCTCTCCTCCTCCCCATCTGATGATGATTCCGCTCTAGGGCGCACGACCCCCGACGACCCCTCATCCCGAAGCGCGGCCCGTACCGGAGAAGGAACCGCTGAAGACTCAACTGATGCCGCCCTCGGTATTGAGCGCGACACAGGCGCCGCAGTAAGATGAGCGACTGCACCCGGCCGACGGAAGGCCAACTGAGGGGCCCTGACGCGGCGTGCCCTCCCTGATCACAGGAAAACAAAGTTGATGAATAAAGTTGAAACAAAGCGGAACAGAAGAAGAAATCAATTTCTTACCTGCCACGGGCCTACGACCATGCCTCTCCCAGAAAGACGCCCATGTGCGTATCCCCACCGTATGGGGGAGTACGGCCTCGACCCACTCACGTATCCAAGACAATGGGGCCGGCGGCGACCTGTCGGCTACAAAAAACGACACGAGATAACGCTCGTGATCACAAATCATAAAGAGGGGAAGAAAAGGGAATTCAACCACTAAAGAACTTACGTGCATGGTTCCAAGCCTCTGGGAACCCAGTAGCATCCGCCACCAGATGCTTGGTCCTGATATAAAAGAAGTGCTCGAAAGGGCGAAGGTCGACCTCGTCATCCAATCTCATGACCAGGCCCCTCGACCCACGAGGGCACGCCTGAATCATGGTGCCACGGACTCTCTGGGGAGCATAGAGACTCAGCACATGCTGCAGCGTGACCTCCCTACGGGCCAATTCCGCGTACTTGATGAACATTGCCAACAATTTTTAGAGGGAAGGAGTGAGCTGACCCGGGCACACCCCGTAATAACGGCAGAAATCCACCACCAACATTGGGAGCGGGATCTTGAACCCCAACCTGAAAGGATAGGCGTAAAAAACGCAGTATCCCCTACGGTCGGTGTGGACCCTCTCCTCGCTTCTAGCGAGAACGATGTCTGCATGGGTGGGAATGACCCCCTGTTCCCGTAATCGGGCCATCCCAATCTCCCCCATTAACGGGGCTTCATCCACCGGTTCCACTCCACCGTCGACAGTGAAATCAATCGCCGGACCTCCGGGCCGAGGAACTACCTCGTCAACCGACGGAACTTCTCCGGTCTCTATCTGTTCTGCACCTCCCATTGTCGGAGGTGGCCCTTCGACTACCGGAATGTCTATCGGAAGAGCATCGTGGGAAGAACTGCCTGTCATTGTTGATCTACTAAAGACAAAGGTTATCACAATCAAAGGAAAGAAAGGAGAAGATGAATTTGCGGAACGAAAAAGTTTCCTCAGAATCTCTCTCAGTTGAACAATGAAGATATGAGAAATGAATGCCTCAACCCACCTTTATAGGCAACATAAATGGCTTTCGCGAAACCCAATAGCCATCATTAACTGCACGACCAACCGTAAAACGGTTCAGTTCTGCCGAAGCAAGCTTCATTATGACAAGCTCCGCAAAGCGACTTCTCAGCCCTCCGCCAACGTACCGCCGTCAGAATAATCGCTACGGCCTGCGAACATTGAAAGAATGTGCCGTACGCCTTCAAAATTCTGGACATGACCAAATACGTACCCGGCGCATACTCATTCCCTACGGCCATCTCCAATATATGAAAGGCTACGGCCATCTCCAACGTTTAAACGGCTAAGGCCGCCGCCGAGCACGTATCAAGCGTGCCCTCATACTCCTCGGCCGCACAACATACGACCCGTCCGCCACGGCCAACGGGTATGCTTCCAAAACAAACGTAGGGATCAGAGCACAATGCAGCTCAACCTCACTCGAAGTAAGTTAAAAGGGTGCCTTCGCCCAGAAGGAGAGTTCGACCTCGATCGAACGACGACTTGATAGCCCAATAACAGGATACTAATACTCTACAAGGCTAAGGGCCATCGCCAAAAAGAATTCGGCTTCGACCGAAGCAACAGTCGACATCCCCATCCGTGTTTCTCGAAATACAGCCAATGGAATCCGCTCATCGAGCTCGGCCAAGGCCCGACCTCAATAAGCGGAGGGACTAACTGTATGGGTCAGAATTCGACCCCACGATAATTAACGAGGCTAATCCCGTTTTAAGTTAATTCATGATTAAATAATGGCACGACCACTCAGAATTGACGATGTTCAACCCGCATCTGGTTCGATCGACAAGGCCATGGCCTATCCGCCACCATAAAGGCGAGATCCCAACGTGGTCACGGCCACTTATCGCCAGATCACGAGGCCCACAGCTATAAATACCCAGAGAGGGATTCCTAGAAAGGGGGCTGCTTCTTCACCACTATTGACAAGAGAGAGAAGAGAAAAAATATACCCATCTTATGGAAAGAGAAAACACCGTTGTAAGGCTCTGAACCTCTTCGTGGAGAGGCAGACCAAACAAATGTTATCAATAAAGGTTTCTAATGTTTCTCCCCCTAATCCTGAGTACTTATTTTCGTTTCTTTCATTTGGTCCAACAGATTATTACGATTTGCTATGATTTTCCCGTGACTCATTTGTATTGTTTTATACTCATAATATATGTAATAACTTTTGAACAAACAACTATAAAAAGAAAAAAGAAACTAGATCCAGTTCTATAATTCAATTCAAACTGCTCCACTGAACAAAAGATGCTTCCTCCTCGCTCCATCTTGATCTTCACCATCGTCTTCCTCCTCCTCCTATCTCCATCGTCATTACCATCGATCGAGGCGGCGGAGCAGAAGTAACAGTTCGCCGTCGATGGGAAAGTATTGGAACTTGAAGAATCCAACTTGGACGCTGCAATTTCTACCTTCGATTATATGTTGGTCGATTTCTATGCTCCTTGGTGTGGTCACTATAAACGTCTATCTCCTGAGGTCTATCATTTTCTCTTTTCTATCTATTTGCTTGATTTTCTTTTCTTTCTTTTTTTTGTAAATTAAACAAAGCTAGCTTGAGAATTTTTTTTTACTCAATTGTTGTGTTATTGGAATAAAATAAATGAATAAAGGATAATTTACCACAAATTACGAAAAGTAATGACGGCATAACAGGAACAACTTTTTTGGTAAAAACATTATAAGAAATAAAGTAATATCATCTAAAAGTTTAGTCTTTTCTTGAGGTTTTATTTCAAAAAAAATTCATTATTAATTAATTGTGCATAGAAAATTTGATACTTACTAGTTTAAAAATGAAATTATGGTGCATGAATCAAGTGTGCCTCAGTGGCTAGTTTATGGGCACACTCTTGTGGTAGCTAATAAGGTGTTGATATTAAATTTGAGATCGAAAAATTCCTTAAAGAAATTACACTAGAGAAATAGATGCTTATGATTGGATTTAATTTGAAAGTATAGAGGGATGGAGGGCTTATTTATGGTCGTGTAATTAAACTTATGGGGAAAATGAACCTTTTTAATAGTCGTGGTATCAGGGCCAGCTTGCGCGCACCTCGACTCATTCCAGGGTACCTGCCACCTCCCACCAGCAACACGTACCAGGTAATCTTGCAAAGGAAGTTCAATGGTGTCATACAAGATCATGATATGTCTCATAAGTAAGAAGTGATCATGATGCTTCTGTTCTCTTTTTTTGGACATTTGTGATGATGTCAACTTCAAACTTATACATCTTCTATTTCTTCCAGTTTCCTGACAGATTCAGGATTTATAGCTACGTGACAAGATCTCTATTGTTTTTTTGGTACATAAGATGGATTTGTTGCATTATCTGAATTTTTAAAGCCTAGGTGCTGGTTTAAGTTGTTCCGTAGGATAAATGCCAAGGAGCATGTTGCTGGCTGGTATACCAAAACTTAGGGAAAATAACCTGAACATCCATGGGCTTTTTAATGAGTAAGGACATTACCTTTTTTTACGTTCGGAGATCCTATTTGACTTTTAGTTTTTTGAGAATATTTGATCTTTAGTTTGTCCACATGAGAATCTGCCGTGATCGATTATGCCTGGATGCTTTTTCAAGCTACAAGCATTACTTATCAAATGAATCTATTAGAGGGAACGGGAAGCTACAAAAAGAGAAATTGGGGACAGAACTGCTTACAACACAAATGAGACGTATACCTAAAAAGAAAACAAATTAATAAACTTGCAGGCAAAAAGCCAATGTCACAGGAAATGGTTGAAATGCACAAGTCAAACTAGTTTAGCTCCCTGTTGATCTTGTACCAGTCACTTGATTGAACAACTTTCCTTGTTGACTTCTCAACCCCCTTAAGGCAATGTAAATAGAATCTTCAAGGATATACTAAACTTTCAACTCAAAACTCCTTTTTTTGGGGATAAGATACTTTCAACTCTAAACAATTTTTTTTAAGTCGAGTTTCACGGAATTAAATTGCCTTGATGGTGCCAAACTCAAAACAACTTTATACATGATTATTTTCTAATAAATTGCAATACTAGATTTGTTAGATAACTTAGTATAGATTTTGATAGTAGTATAACATTGGCAAAAGACCTTTCTTGAAATACTTACTAAGTTTGACTTCTAATTGATTTGCTGCAGGTCATGCATCTTGATGCTGAAAAAGAGATGATGTCTCATTGTGTTGCACTGCTTGGGAAATTCATTGTTGTCTGTGAGCCAAATAATCTTTTTCTCGGTTTGGTTTGTTTTAGCCATATACGAATTACTCCCTCCGTCTATTTTTACTTGTCCACGATACTAAAAAAAGATGTCCATTTTTACTGATCCAGTTTGGAAAATTGATAATTCACCATTTCATGCCTATTTTACCTTATTATTAAGTACTACGAATCATTTTCAATTCGTTTCCCAATATTTTGGATTTATAATAGTCAAAGTTAGTTTTCCAGTTGCTGCAGTTGAAAGGAGACTAATGGAGGAGGTGCGAAACAATGACACTGATAATTGTTGGAGAAACTAGAAGTGGAAAGATAATTGTTGGAGAAACTTGTGTACACATGTTTGCGTATCGTTCTTCTTTGTCAGTGTATTTGTGCGTTGGGTTATGTGTGTTTTATCAGTCTTTACTAAGGTGTATAAGGTGTCTTTCTGTATGTTTGTGCAAGTCAAGCATTATAGAACTGGTGAATTCGTGAAGATCGATGACATATTTGATTCATTGATCTAAGAATTCTTTTTCCTAGCAAAGCTGCCAGAATGTTTTCTCGAACACAGGAAAAATGTGCTACCTGCGGCAAGACGGCCTATCCACTTGAGAAGGTACAAATATTGAACCCTCAAAATTTCACCTTATCATGATGTCTTTATTGAAAAATAAATTTTACCCTACACTATACTTGTCATCTGATTGGCTTTGGTCAACGTTGTTTACTTGGGAGGGGGGGTTGCTCATTCCTGTGATAATTTTTTATTTCTGGAGTTAGTCTTGTTTGTCTAAAAGTTTCCTGTGTCCTCTACAAGCAGTGCCTTCAAAATGAATTTTTATCTGTGATATTGTATGATATTGTGTACTGTGGAATACAGTTTTAACTTCAGTCATTTTCTAGTGTCACATGAAAGCAGGATTATCTTTTAAGTGGCTTCGCAATGTGGAAGTTACAAGCTAGATTTCTATATTGGGACTATCTCTCTTTCAATTGAAACATGCTATATTGCTGCAGGAAGATGGATAACAATATAATGAACCTAAAGGAGTGAATGGTAGCTAAAAGATATTTAGAATGGTCGAAGTTTGCATGGTTGCAAATTGTTGCAATGTGTCTGTGTGCTTTATTTAAATTAAATACGGAGTAGAAGAAAGTAAGGAATTCCAGTATCATGTTGTGGTTGTGACAGCAACTGTATATATCTTCTTAAGCATAGATGAACTGAATTCCCTGAAGTTCGGGGTTATTTGCTCACAAAATGATCATTAGTAGTTCTTTAAAGATAGTCCCCGAAACTAATTCTGCACAATTGCTGAGTTTGATCGAATTGTATACCCTACAATCCCCAATCTGGTGTAAAAATAGAAAAGAGAAGTAAAGTCTAGTGCTCGACAATCTGCTTTGGCATTACTCATACCACTAAATACTAACTCAGAAGTTACTGGGCACGTTGCGTGAGTTACCCCATCTGTTAAGAACATCAGTGAACTTCCAGTTTTAAGGTGTGAGTAATAAATAATTTTAACATTATTAAGGTATTGTATGGTATATATGTAGCAATTCACAAGTTAACAGCCCGCTGAACCTTCCATTTACTTATTTTATCCACCAGCAGGAAGCTAGTTTTATCTAAATATGTAGCCATCTATGATGTCGTGTCTTGCTATATATTGTTAGTGGTACTTGTTATGTCTGTATTGTTTTCTAGTGAAAGTTTGTAGTTTGGTCATAACTGACAATGGTAATGAACTTATATGTATTGGCCTTTGAGTTCTGAGATTATTCTTGGATACTCTAGTTTGTGAATTACAATGTAGGACTTTATAGGGTCTAATTATAGTTAAATTTGAGATGGATAGTGTTTGCTTAGTGCTTTTATATGAATAAAAGATATTGATTTTTCTTTAATTTTGGTTGTCCCTTGCAGTATGATGTAGTTGCTCCTGACACGGTCTTGGTCAGTTCACTATTATCACAGTTTCTCTTCCTAACATTGCATGAGCATTGTGTGTTCTCTTTTACTATATGGAAGAACTGACGTATCTAGTAATAATTTCATGCAAGCTCCAAGTAGCCCGGAATTGAGGATTATTGTATTTCATCTATTGATATAGTTATTTTATAATTTCAGGTCATAGAGTTTGGTGTTCGATAATTTAGCGGGTGGAAGATTTCAATATGACGAAGAGTTGTAGAAATTATTTGAAGATTGTTATTTGTTAAATTAGTTACATAATGATATTAGTTATTTAGTTCAAACAATATAAGTTTATTTTTTAAGTTATTGTGATATTAATATTTTGAAAGTGCTTCCTTTTGTTTGTTAAGATTTAACGAGATATATTGTGGTTTGATAAATTAATATTGATATGTTTTGTTATTTGCATTATTTGTTATCGAATGTAGTAGCTATCATTAATGGTGGCTAAACTTACCGTTATAGCTTGTGACTTTTAGTGCCAATTTAACTGGATATACCGGCTATAAAATGGATGATAAAATGGCAAATTAAGACGTTTATACAGGAATATTGTAGCCATTAAATTGCTATTAAAGATGACTTATAGTGGCAATTTAGTTGAATTTACTAGCCATTAAAATGGACGCTAAAAGGGCATAATAATATGTTTTTAGAAGAGATATTGTTGCTTATCTAATTGCCACAAAACAACTAACACTAAAGCTATGGACTTTTAGCGACAATTGTTTTAACTTTAGCAGCTATTAAAATGGACGTTAAAGGAGCATTATTAGCCATTTTTAGAGTGGATTTAGCAACTATAATAATTGCCGCAAATACTTGCCGTTAAAGCAAATGCGTTTTAGCGGCAATAAGTCATACCCTTTACCAGCGTTTGTGAGAAACGCCGCTAAAGGCCTTACCAACCCTGGCTTCAGCGGCTAAATACCAATTGCCGGTAAATGATATAGTGGCTATTGTTATTGCCGCGAATGTTGTTATTTATTGCCACCAAAGGCCTTTTTTGTAGTAGTAATTCTGGCTCGGGGACTTCGGCTGAGGCTTCCCCTTGGGCTCACCAAGTCGAGGCGGAGCAGTCTCAGCTCCCGCCGGCTCGTTTTTAGCATCAGCACCGGCCCGCGATCGGGCCACCAGCTGATTTCTTCTTCATCCTCTTCGGGCTCATCTAGTAGCCGACGGACTGAGTCTATTGTTAGAGGGGTGACATTTCCCTTACGGGTTTGCCTTTTTTTGGGCTTCTCCTCACCCAACTTTGTGGAACTCGGATCCCCTCTCCTCTTCCACTCTCTCTTCTGCTTCGTAGCAGATGGTTGGGGAAGGTTTTCTTTATCGCCAGATGGGGCCTCATCGGCACGTCCTTCCCCAGACCTGCAAAAGAAAGACGCGTAAGATCGAGAGAAAATTCGAACAATGGTCAAAATTGTCGACTCATAAAGGAAAACAAAAATTTACCATGGTTTCGGGCCTCCCGTCGACCCTTCCCCAAATCACGCCATGCGCGCTCAGCATTTGTCAACTTCGATACTAGGCTCCTGACCCAGTTCTCGATTAGGGGAATCGCACCCGGCATCCAGGCAACGACTGCACCAAGTAAAATGCCCATAAGAAAGGATGAAAAAATGAAGACAATAAGCAGAAATTAAAGAACGAAGTTGCACTTACGTCTCATATTCCATTTCTCCGGAAATGGCATACTCTCGGCCGGGATCAAGTCCGAGGTCTTCACTCGGACAAATCGGCCCATCTAGCCCCAGTTCTTGTCCTCATCTATGCTCGAGAAAGGTGCCTTGGAGGCCCGACGTTGAAGCTTTATTCGTCCCCCTCAATAAAGCCGGGGGTTTTATAGGCGTACGAGGTGATCGTGGGTAAAGGGAAGCTCATTGATTTGGCTCATGAAGAAGCCGAGCAATATCATTATCCTCCAGAAAGAGGGGTGAATCTGACTGTGGGTCACTTCGTACTTCTTGCAGAAGTCTATAATGACTGGATCCAAAGGACCCAATGTGAAAGGGTAAGTGTAAACACTTAGAAACCCTTCCACATCGGTAGTGATTGACTCCTCAGGCGAGGGCACCACCACGTGCTTGTCAACCCAGTTGCAGTCCCCTTTAACTTGGTCGAGGAGATCGCTGGTGATTGTGCATATGTACCTCGACATTGGCTCACATCGACCCGCAACCAAGGGGGTCTTCTCAACCTTGAAGTCGGAGTCAAGGACGCACCCTCCAGGAACGAACTTTTCAGGGCGTGGCTCCGCCGCTGGTTGCTCGTCGGCCGGCCGGGACGAGGAAGCAGCTTCCTTTTGTGGAACAGTTTTTGAAGTCTTAGCCATTTTTACTTTTGCGAGTGAAGAAGAATGGAAACTGAGAAGAAAAGCTTGGTATTTTGTGATGTAAGAGGCGAAGAAACACCAAAGGTCTTGGAGTTCAGAGCTTTTAGGGAGGCAGATGATTTTGGAGATTAGAGAAAAGAATATTTGAAAGTAAAGTTTGGGCAAAAGAAGAAAGATACATATATAGGTTGAAGAAAACGGTTAAGAACCGGTAGTGGCCGACCACTAGGTATTTAATGGCTCGATATCCGAACTGACGGGGCATTTCAGTACCCACTTGTCGCTGACGTCATGGTCGGGCTCGTCGCTTACGTCATGACCCATCGAGATGGGATTGGAAAAGATCAAGTCATTTATTGTCATTACTCTCCAAAAAATGAGGAGAGTATCTATATACGGTCAAAATTGGGCTTGCCCTTTCTGTGAGACTGATCGAGGCTGGAGCATGATAAGTCAGGGATCGGCATCGATTTATATCGGACCATGGCATGGAGATGGATTGCTAAGCTCATGAATCAATGACCGATCAAGATCGAGACCAGTCGTGATCGAGACCGAAGCGGGATGGAGATCGAGCGAGATCGAAGGAAGCTTGCTAAGTCGAATAACAGAAAGTCGAGATATCCGTGATCGAGCAAGGATCGTGGCAGAAATCTCGGCTCGTATCAAGTCAAGACCGGTTACTTAGCCAGTCAAGGGATTTCCTTCCTTATTTAGAATTGTACCATAAGTAGAATTTCTCTACTATATAAAGGGGGTTCTAATCATTTTGTAAGGCATATATTCACGCATAACAAAGCAATACATTACATTTTCTCTCTTAAGCTCTGTTGTCCAGTTCATACTTTTCACTAGCATACTCAGTTGGTTCGAGGGCGATCTAGCTCGAGGGCCAAGCTGCGCTTTATATTAGTTTGCTTTATTTTACAGTTAATTTCTAACATTAATTCTAATATCTCTCAGTTTGTGCCAAGTGAATGTCACGACCCAAAACTAAATCCTGTCGTGATGGCTTTGCCTCTCGAACCGGCCTCCAAACGTCCTGAACCTAGCCAAAAGTAATACAACACAATCAATATGTGCCAAGGAACCAACCCACAAAACAAACTACTAAATTGGACTCAAATCCCGAAATCGACTCAAACCCAGCCCCCGGGCCTATGTCTCGAAATCCGACAAAAGTCACAAAACTAGAAAGCACATTCACTCACGAGTCTACCCATACCAACTTCATCAAAATCCAACATCATTTGGTCCCTCGAATTCCCAAATTATCTTCTCCAAAATCCCAAGCACTAACCCCTTATTTCACTTCAAAAATCCTACTAATTAGGTGGGAAAACAACTGGAAAATACCATAGCTAATGATAATAAAGCTCAATCAACTTACCTCACTGAATATCCTTGAATCCCCTTCAAAAATCCACCCAAAAGCTCCAAAGTCCGTGTTCCATATGGTGGAAATGAGCAAAAATTTGCGAAGTCTTCTATTAATAGGTTCTGCCCAGGCTTTCCGCACTTGCGGCTCAATATGCGTACCTACGGTGCCGCTTCTGCGCAAAAATTTGCGCATCTGCAGAAAATCACTTAAAATCCCTAGACCGCTTCTGTGCCTCTAGACCGCATCTGCGATAACCGCAGGTGCGGATTGACATCGCACCTGCGGACCAACACACGCATATGCACCCTCTCTTCCGCTTCTGCGACCATCGCATGTGCGGGAACTTCATTGCACCTGCTCCTTCTGCCCAGCTCCTCCAATCTCGCATCTGCGATCCCCCACTCACTTATGCGGGCTCGCATCTGCGGCTCCCACTTCACAGACTGGGGTTATGACAGCTGAGTTCCAACTTCAGCAATTCTCCAAACTTCAAACTTGATCCGTTAACCACCTGAAACACATCTGAGGCGCTCGGGACCTCAACCAAACATGCCAACAAGTCATATACCAACATATGAACTTAGTCAAGCCTTTTAATCACTCAAAATAACATCAAAACACCAAATTACCCTCGGATTCAAACCTAAGAACTTCTAAACTTCCAAATTCCGCAAACGACGCCAAAACCTACCAAACCACATCCGAATGACCTAAAATTTTACGCACACGTCACAAATGACACCACGAACCTATTCCAACTTCCAAAAATCCATTCCAACCCCGATATCAAATTTTCCACTGCCGACCGAAATTGCCAAATTTCAACTTTCGCCAATTCAAGCCTAATTCTACTACGGACCTCCAAAACACATTCCGAACACGCTCCCAAGTCCAAAATCACCTAACTGAGCTAACGGAACCATAAAAATTCAAATGCGAGATTGTTTACACATAAGTCAACATCCGGTCAACTTTTCGAACTTAAACTTTCTCCTAAGAGACTAATTGTCTCAATTAACTCCAAAACTACTTCGGACCCGAACCAACTGACCCGGTAAGACATAATACAGCTGAAGAACACAAATGAAGAAAAATGGGGAACGGGGTTGCAACTCTCGAAACGACCGGCCGGGTCGTTACATCCTCCCCCTCTTAAATAAATGTTCGCCCTCGAACGGATATAGAAACATACCTGGAGCCTCAAGTAGGTGTGGATATTTGCTCCCAATCTCCCGCTCGGTCTCCCAAGTAGCCTCCTCCATGAGCTGACCTCTCCACTGCACTTTCATTGAAGCTATATCCTTTGATCTCAACTTTCGGACCTTTCGCTCCAAAATAGCCACTGACTCCACATCATAAGTCAAATAGCCATGCAACTGAACCGTGCTGAAATCCAAGACATGAGACGAATCACCGATATACTTCCGGAGCATAGAAACATGAAATACTGGATGCATACTCGATAAGCTAGGTGGCAAAGCAAGATCATAGTCCACCTCCCTAATCCTCCGAAGCACCTCAAACGGCCTAATAAACTGAGGGCTCAACTTGCCCTTCTTTCCAAATCTCATAACACCCTTCATGGGTGAAACCTTAAGCAAGACCTTCTCCCCAACCATGTAAGATACATCACGGACCTTTCTGTCAGCATAACTCTTTTGTCTTTTC